ATTTTTATCTCTGTCCAAAAGAATTAATAAAAATTTGCAGTAATGCCATCAGATCCAGGGGCTTTATCTGATGCTACATTTTTACAGCACAAATTCTTCTATTGAATTTGTTCCTCACATTTATTTTTAAAAGAAGAGTCTATGGTAGGAATAACATTTATGATTCTTCTTCTTATTTGGAGTATGAGGACGTAAAAAGAGTGCTGTAAAATTCCCTAATTTCTTCCGATATAAGTTTTTTGTCTGTGCATTCTTCACCATTAATTATGAGACTGTTAATTGAATTTTTTTCCTGCCTGTTTTTCTAACCTGAAAAAATATAATGTATTTTTCTCTCCTTCTTCCATCCATCTGGCTCTTGATCGTATAAATGTTCCTCTTGCTTTGTTTTGATAGTATTGATCTAGTTTACACTGTAATGTGTTGATGTTGGTTCTTTCTTCCTCACTCCAATCAGATTTATAATAATATGTAATCAATTCTGTGATTAATTTGGTTTCTTCCATTTGTAGTTTTTTTACTGTATGAAATAGAGAATTTTCTTATGGAAAATTTCACAAATTCCCATTTTTGTATTGCTGTAACAAAATTTGTGTTATTTTTAATATCTTCAATTATTTCCTTAATTTTTTTTACAATATTGATCATTTTTAAGTAAACTAGAGTTGAATTTCCTGAAACCCTTGAATTTGTTTTTTGACTCTTTTTTGGCTACTCGAAGGTTTGTCGCACAATGATCCCTTAAAGGGCTGCAAGAGATGCTGGCTTCAGAAAGGTGTTCCAGAATGAAGCCTGTAACTAACCAGTAATCGATTCTTGAGCTTGACAGACCATTTGGTTTAAGCCAAGTGTATTGTCTGATGTTATGGTTAAGGTTTCTCCAGGCATCAATTAGTTTATTTGTATTTTAAAATTCATCCATCATCGGATTCAAAGTCACCTGAAAATACTTTGACGGACATCTGTCCATCCATTCATCTGGTGTTAAGTTAAAGTCCCCTCCAAACACGTTCAGTGGAATAATTCTGCTGAAGTTTAATAACTGTTGTTACCTGATGTAAAAGCTGTCTGTTTTTCTGCTCATTATTATATCCATAAACATTGACTATAATAATCAAATTGTCGTCAATATCTAACACACATGCTGCTCAGAGTGCATCTTTATCTGTTTCTTAAGAAATAGCCTTCCCAGGACATCTATTAAAGCAAATGGCTACACCTGCGCAACGATTTGTTCCATGACTAAAAAAGATCTTATCTTCACTGTTGAGTCCAAACTTTCACATTGGTGGATTCTGAGTCTCTTGAAGAAAAAAATACAGTTGGCCTTTTGATTTTTGCAGAACAAAAATACTGCTTTAAACTTAACAGTCTTTGATCTCTCTAGCATTAAAAGAAAAGAAAAAATAGAACATCAGTCTTTAAATCAAGTCCTGACTAATTTATGAACAATAACAATAGAACACCTAAATAAAAGAACAAAAAAACCATAGAATATATTTTAAGTCCTAGGAGGTAGAGTAGCAACACTTGAGAAGAGTCCCTTTAACCGTCTCATGAATCAAATTTCTCCACTATTAATTATCTAACAAACCTCTTATACTGATAACACTTCAGCCTGTAATACGCTTTCCTTGGATGTAGGCGAAGGGTCTACTGAATCCCGCAGCCTTACCCTCCTTCCTTGCCTTCTCAGTTCTTGGCCACAGCGCCTGCCTGGATTTCCAGTCCTCCTGGGTCAGATCCTCCGCAAACCGAATCCCTTCTCTGCAGATCCTTGATGCTTTCGTTTGCTTCCACACTTTTCTAACACTTCTTGTGGCAAAGAGGATTATTATTTGTCTGTGACGGTTTTCTGCTGGTCTCTCCACTCTATGAACTACATCAATGGCCTCTTCCATCTTCTCAGCCTGGTCAGGTGAAATCCTGCTTAGCAGCTCCACAACTTCAGCTTTTAGGTCTTCTTTAAATTGACCTTTTTTACCTTTAATACATAAACTCCATCTTCTTTTATATCCTTCTTGGGTCCCTCAGACGTACCCTCATGTCTTCCTTTTCCTTGTGAAGTTCTACTTGTGCTTCCGATGTTTTAACTTTTTTCTTGCACTCTCATAACGACGAGTCTTGGAATCCGACCAGACCTCGGCGCCACGCCATAACGTAATCGTCCTTTCAATCTGGCCTTCTGAGGACGCAGCCCATGAATTCGAACAGAAACTAAAATATTCTTCACAATATTATGGTGTCAGTATTTAATTAGTAGCATATAGTAGACAGAAACAATGCACTGCAAAAACAACATTCTTAAATGAAGTGTATTAACCCTTAATTTAAATGGATGAATGACATGATTTGTGATGGAATATCTTTACTCTTAAAATAAGATAATCAGAAAATATTCACTTGAAATAAGACAATGCAATATTTTTTTATTTTTAATGTAAAATGTATTTTTCCATTTGTAGTGTCTCACCTCCTGAATTCAAGAAAAAATTACTTATTTAGATTTGAATTTTCTGCATCGTGATAGAAACTTAAGTTGAAAATCATAATTTTCTTTCTTCTAAAAAGCATAATTAGCATTGGCATAAATATCCAACCAATGGCACAAGATTTAAGACAAGAATTTTTCTGCAAATGTATATTTATTTTTTCGTTTATGTCTTCTGCTGTAACAATGAAAAAATGTCCCTATTTTCTCCAAGTCTTCAATAGTTTAATCAGGTATGAGTACAACTGTGTTCTGCTGAGGGCTTTTAACAGTCTGTAGCTTTTCTGCAACTTCAGTCCTCATCGCTGTCCGTCTCCAAGTGATCAAAGTCTGGATCGTCTTCATCCAAATCCAAGTCCTCAATGTCCTGGAACAACGACTCGTCCACTTCAACGTTGTTTCCACCTGAGGAGAAAGGAAAAAAAAAAAAAAAAAGAGCTGGTCAACAAATCCCCGTTTTAAAGGATGCATTTAACCCAAAGCACTGTGATTCCAGACATTAGATTCATTTGAGGGAAGAAAATGCTGAAGCACCTCAGATCACACAGAGTTTGGGATGAAAACAACATTTAATTCATACAATGTTGGGCGTCATTGTTTAAATTAAAACAGGAGGCATATGCTGGAAAGCAATAAAGTTCCTGAGGGTTTAACAGAGAAATAGAAATGTTCAATTAGGAGCAATGCATTTTATTTGAGCTTGAGAGACTGTATAATTGTAGAGGTTCAACTGATGGACATAGAATGCATGTTTTCAAGAAAGGATTGACGGAGAAATATGTAACCTTGATATTTAGGTTTTCTTATGGTTGTATTTTCTAAACACTGTTTGGCTGCTGACAACTTCCTTCTCCTTCATTCTAGTTCACTCAGCTGCTCTCACTTTGATAAAAAGAAATAGCACATGCCTAAAGCTACAAGTATGTGTATAAAGCTCTAAATAACTCAG